TATTTTTTACACCTAATAATATTTGTCGTAGAAAAAGTATAGTATTCCAGATAACATTCGTGAATGCACGTGTAATCACACCGGACGCGTGAATGCACCGTGAATTCACTTTGAATTCTCAGATAACATACGTAATGCACGTTTAATTCCCACCGGGCGCATGCCGTGAATCTTTCAGTTCACACACAGTTAAAATACTTTATTAAAATTATACCTACCTTATTAAAATAAATGTAAAGACCGAAATGTAAAGAACTTATTATAACATTAACCCTGAATGTTAAAAAATTCTACTGAGCATCTACATTTACTTCGAGCTTCACGTGTGCGTTCACTATGAATTCAAGGGGCGAACGGATATTTTTGACGGTGAATTCACGAATGTTATTTGGAATGCAACTCGTTAATAATTTTCCAGACACTTATTTTTATTAAACACTCGCTGGTGCCTAATTTGTGACTAAAATGGCGTTTATCAAACTGATATACTATTATACAATGTAGCACTAAAAAATATTGTATTGTGTAGATCGAAATACAATATTTATAAAACCATAATAATACCTAGGTATGTAAGTAGGTTTTTAAACACTTTTTATTGTGGGAAATTTTATGACGATAATATGTTAAAAACATCTTAAAGCAATAGATTTTGGTAAATAATTATTTTTAAATACCTAATTATGTTTTGATTTTATGACATCTCAAAGTAGAATGTTATTATATTTAATAAACTATATCTTTTAATCAAACAAAAAAATGTATATTTTTTTAAATAAGTTTAAAGTACACCTTAATTTACATATATAAAAATTCCTATTTGAATAAAAAAATAAAAATTAAAAGTTATAACGTTTTAAAGACACATTGGTAAAATTAAGAGAAAAAAATTCCTATATGCATTTAACTACGATTGCCTCCAATTTCCACGTGTATATCTACATGAGGTTGTTCAGTAAACTTTACTTTATAAGTAGACCATAAATAGCTGCATATACGCACATATGGAAAAGGTGATTGGCTACATCGCGAGCGCTCGTACCTAACTAAGGCATTGTCTACACACTCAAGATTTTCGTACCCACAGATCTATGCTAAGTGCTAAGTTTTAGTTGAATTTATTAATTATTATAAATATTTTAACATGTATAAAATCTTGGGAATGACTTTTTACAAAGTTCTTGAAGCCAAAAAAGAATGCTATCTAGATGAAATAGTTACCGAAACATGTGCACAAGTAAATTTGCTAAGTCTTTCGGACCATACTTCAAAACGAATTTTGGAAGCTATGGAAATTGAAAACAATGAAAATGAATTACTTTTGGTAAGTGGGGATGTGATGGTGCTTCCGGCCACTCTGAATATAATCAAAAATATACGCTGAAAGAAAATCAAGAATAGTCAGATATACCATATGGTATACCATATATACATATATATATATATATTAATACTTAGCTTCAATTTGTAAAAACAAATTACCGTTTGAATTTGTGAAAGAATCGCCAGAAAAAATTATGGACACCTACAAGAAAATAACTGAACAAATTTCCCAGTTAAAAAATACAGAAGTAACTATATCTGGAAAAAGTTACGCTGTTAAACATGAAATGGAGTTTACTATGAAAGATAGCTCAAATAATTACTAAAACTCCATCTGCTTCAACGTTTTATATGCAAAATAATCCAACGGAAATGAATGATTTAAAGAAAGGTGTTTGTAAACTGACGAATGAAGAAGCTCTTCAATTTGGCTTATCCACTTTGCATGCTCGCATTTAATTAATGTAATGTATATTGCATATTGCATACAACTTCTCCTTTAAAAAATGAAAAGCAACCAAGGAACTAAGGGATATCAAGGAAGCCGACAAAAACATTCAACATGAATTCAAATCCAAAATGGGTCTAATAATAGACGTTGTAAAAAAAGGCTCAGGAAACTCGAATTCAGGAAACACGTCTCGAAGATTCTTTAGTAACCCAACCTTAGTTTCCCAAATAACGAAGGTTGATTTTAATTTAATAAGTAGATTTCCTGTAATACTTCAAGCAATGACCTGCCAAAGCTCAATCAATCCAACCAAATTTGGAAAATATTCTGCAGAAACAGCAGAGTTGTTTGTATGTCTTTATCCCTGGTACTACATGCCAGTGAGTCACTGTGACAGTGCATACTTTATTAATTCATGGGAAAGAAGTTATGCAAAATATATGTTTGCCAATAGGAGTACTTTCTGAGGAAGCTCAAGAATCTAGAAATAAGGATTTTAAAAAATGTCGATAGGTATATGTTTTCGAGAAAAACAAACGAGGATATATTTTATCGTCTTTTAATATCGTCTGACCCCCTAATAACGTTACTTATGAGAAATACAAAATTTATAAAATATGAGCTTGATGAAGAAGGAATGTTAAAATTCAAATTATGTTTATTTATTTCTTAGTCTGCTTAGTTAAGATTGTTACAAAAAAATATGTATTTATTTACAATAAAACAGATATTGAATTATTTTCGCAATCGTTTCACCGCGAACATCTAAAAAAGGCATTTATAGTTATTTTCCTAACAAGTGCGCAAAGTTCGGGCAAGCAGTAAGTGCGGAAAAATTACTTTTTTTACAATATTTTTTTACTAGCGTGCGCAAAGTTAGATAACAATGATTATTAAATTAATTTTTATTAATGTTTATTATTCAGGACACTTGAGGAGGTCCATTCCAAAACTCGGCTTATCCAATTTTTAATAAAAATGAGTTAGTGTTGTCTGTACATTTAACATGTACCCCCCTATACCCTGAAAAGTTCATAATATTCTAAAACTAACCTTATTCCATTTAAAATTCATTTACAAATTGACTATCGTTCCAAAACTTGCCTTATCTATAGGTTATATCATGCAGAACTCGGCATATACGTATGTAATTTTAAATTATTTTAAACTGGAGCTATACCTTTTTAATCAAGGTATATACATACATGTTTTACTTATGCCTTTATATTTCTTTTAAAGTATTGTTTTTACCTGATATGATACGTGTAAGGTTTTTGACATTTAGCCAAGTTTTGAAATGCACCTCCTCACTTCTTACTTAAAACTTTTTGTCTCTTTGTTGTTGCACCAGTTTTCAAAATGTTTGAATTATTTTTCATATTTTTGACAGGATTTCGCTGGTAATAAATTCTGATTTACAGCATTTGCTGCCTCCACCCTGGCGAAAATGAAATGTGCAAAAAGTGTGCAAAATTAGCTCTTCTTCCAAAATGTTCATTTCACGGTCTTATATACAGGTCCTGCAACTTTAAGCTTCGAGGTGGCTTCCTTAACGTGCCAAGCCGCTAGGTGGCGCTAAGATCGAAGGGGTAAAGTCAATTAAACTACTACTTAGTTAAATGTGGAACTACTGCATAACCATAACCTAACTTTTTAAATTCTTTTTCTATGTTTTGTTTACATTTTCAAAAATTTAATATTTTCGGATAATTTACGTTAACAAAATAGGACAACAAAGTCTATACTCTATGCACAAAGTCCTCGGCCGTCACATGCCCAGACCAAACATGTACATAAGTAAAACATGTTAATGTATAAAATACATACGTATATCATATATATGTTACGGCTAATGTGTAAACATGGATAGTTTATAAAGTAGCTGGGTAGTTTATAAACTAGCCAAACTGTCAGCTATTTTAATCTATTTTAATCTAATTAATGAGTAAAAACTCCCTGTAACAAAATACACAAGCTTGTTTATAAAAATGTAGGTTATGTTTCTTAACACAGCTGTGAACATAAGTAGGTAGTTCATTTGACTTTTATCCCATAGACTTTAAGGACTTAGAGCCAGTTTTACAATCGTTAGATTAAGTTAGCTTATTTGGCGGATAACTTTCATAGAAACCTTCTATCCAAGAAAATTATCCACCAGAGAGCTTATCTAACGATTGTAAAACCCAAAGATAAAGAAGGTAAAAACGACCTTTAAACATCTATGGTTTACCACCCAACTCGATGCGCCATCTGGTGGGTGTCTCATTAGAGAGGTCACTTTTCCTATTGAAATTGGGCGAAGTTGCAGGACCTGTATATAAGACCGTGGTTCATTTCAAATATGACGTTTCACTTTGTTTGACATTTATTGACATGGAAACTAAGTAACTAACTAAATTTGATTTTGTCTAAAATCAACAATGTTGATTCAACATACTTACGTACATTTTAAATGCAAATGCGTGCGGAAAAGTGCAACTTGGCGCACGCAAATGGGTGCGGATAAGTGTTACTTTGCGAACGCTAGTAGAAAATAGTTATTTGTTTTACAAGTGTTGAAAAGCGACTTATTCATGTGAGTGTTTAAGTTGCTCACGAAGCCGTCAGGCCGAGTGTGCATTAACACGAGCTTGAAGAAAGCTTTTCTCACAAGTGAAACACAAGATTTTTTCTACGACCCTTTTATTTTTTATTATATTCAAATACAAAACAAAATAACCTAAAAACGTGTTTGACAGCTGTTAAAATTACTTTCATCTTATTATTTTAATTTTTAAGGTATAAGTTACTTAAAATCAATAAACTTACCTTCTTAATTTAAATAAAGGTACTAAAAAGTAGAATTTATTATACATTCACAATTAATTTTGTTCTAAAGGATATTTAGACATACATATACTAATACAATACAAATTTTGGGACGAATGTCAAATGATACTGTAAATTACTTTTCACACAGACCTGTCACTTTTCATTCGTGTTTTGCCTTGACAATGAAAAGATTCTTTTTCTAAGCAACGATGCCACTACGAAATGTGACTTTTACTTAGTGGTCATAAAAAAAAGCAATTACAATTATTACAGTAAGATGAAAATTCTACTTAAAGGAATGGCACTTAAAAAAGGTCAACTGTATTTTAAATAAGCAAATACTTTTAAAATATTAAATATATACGGTTTTTTTAGCAAAAGTGTTTCCACAATTTAAGACGGAATTTGTTTGTAGGTCGACGATCAAATGAAACTTCTTCAACATTCTTGGTCGGATATGTTAGTGTTAGACCATATACATCAGAGGATGCATAACAATCTCCCAGATGAAACAACCTTACACAATGGACAAAAGTTTGATTTGCTTAGTCTAGGTCTACTGGGTGTACCATCACTTGCTGATCATTTCAACGACATCACGGCGAAGTTACAAGAACTTAAATTCGATGTTAGCGATTATATTTGCATTAAATTTCTTCTTCTGCTAAATCCTGGTAAATATATTTTTTAGTATTTTAAATTGAGCTAAGCAAGCAAATGTACGATTTAAATAATAATTATAACATTAAGTGTAATTATAATTACACAAGTAATAGCTATTGTTTGTATAAAAAATAATAAAAGACGCAAAGGATAGAAAATCTATTGAAATTTAATAACTTTTTATGCATTTTCTTGTTCTGATAAATTTCTTAAAAACCATCTCAAGCCTGTTATTTTCAACAGTTAAACAACATCTTTGAATAAGGCAATTAGTTACGTGTCTTAAGACAATTGGTATTGATCTGGATATTAAGTTTTTAATGTACCATTAAACAAATAAAACAAAAGATTAGCTATCGGAAATTTATCTCAAAATAAACAGCTTTAAATAATTATAAATAATACTATTACATTATTATATAATTAAATAATATGTGAACCGCTCCGAAAAAAAAACCCTTTGGTTCAAAAATGATTTTTAGATTAGGTATGATTGTTTTAAGTAGATTGGTGCACGATCTATTAAAACGTTAAATAATAATTTGTTTATATCTAAAATTAACAATGCAACGAATTTACGTCGGGCGTTACTACACACGCCTATGCTGCGCTAACTTGAATCGCCTCACCTGTAAAATTTAATTCGTTCTCTCTGAGGAATTTGAAAAAAAAAATCATCAAAGATATTGATGAGGTTAATGCTAGATATAATTTTTTTATTTTTAAATAATTTTGTATAATCACAATTTAAATACAATGTGCAAAATATTAACAAATAATAATATTTTTTTAGATGTAAGAGGCATCACAAATAGAAAACATGTTCAAGAAGGTTTTGAACAAGTCCAGCAAGCTTTACTCGAATACACGATGACGTGTTATCCTCAAATACAGGTAAAATATTGTTTTTTTATCATGTGCGTAAATTTATAATTATTTATCATATGTTTTGAGTTTATTATGTACCGAATCTGATAAATATTATAATTATATTAATTATTACATATTTATCTTTATGTTTAATGCCAATAAATTACTGATCAAAAAAAGAAAAAAATGGCCATAGAAAAATAAAAGGCGATACGAACTTCAAATAAATATATAAACCCTCATTAATGGACTAAAAAATTAAGTCAGCCATAATGGCTTTAAAATTTAATTGATTTGTCTAAGGTAATACACTATGAGTCGATCTACAAAATATATTTGTGTGTAAATGTTTATACCTAATTTAAAAAGCCATACAATCATTATTTTTGAATACTATTTCTAATCAAATACTAAATAATTTAAAATTTGGCTAGGGTTCAATATTTGTTACTTTATTTTTAGTAATTTCGGGAGAAATTAAGCCGGCGGAAAAAAACCGGGAAATTTTCAGAAAATTTTATTATTATTATTTATTTTATTTAAAGGGTAATACATAATATCGAGGGGTAAACCATTGATTTTAAAAAATTAAAAATCGCTTACGAATTAACGGCTAAGCATAACAATAACAAGGGTAGTCAAGCGCAACGCATAATATATATATACAGGCTGTCCCATAATTAGCGTGCAATACTTTAACAGCAGATTCTACGTATAAAAATAAGAAAAAAAGTTCCTATAAAAATAGGTCGAGAAATGATTTCCAAGGGAGCTACAGCCCCCAAAAGGGGAGCCCCTGAAGGTGGTTTTTATTTAATATCTCCAAAACTGTTTAAGATAGAAAAGTGAAATTTTGGGATATAATCAAACTTTTTATAGTTGAAATAATAACAAATTCAAAAAAATCATAACGGGTGAGTCAGATAGAAAGGGAGTGGGGGTAAAACTACCCTAACTTTTTTGTACGTATCTTGTGCTATGATTTGATATCAGATCATAAAATTTCAGAGTTTTACAAAAAAGGTCCTCTTGATGAACTTTGATAGCATGCACCGTTTTCGTTTAAAATCGATTTAAAAATTACCTTACATAGCATAAAAATTCATAATGAAATCACAACTAGAGAAAAAGATTCAGCGTAGGCCATGGACAATTTTTAAACATGGCCATGGACAATTTTTAAACATCCTGTCACATTATACATGAAACTGTCACCTGTCTTAAATAATTTTTCCTAAAGATGGCAGCTGTGTTCCATGGCCTACTCTGAATTTTTTTCTCTTGTGAATTCATTATGATCTTTTATGCTATGTAAGGTAATTTTTAAATGGATTTTAAGCGAAAACAGTGGACAATATCAAAGTTTAACAAGAGGACCTTTTTTGTGTGTAAAATTCCGAAATTTCATATTCTGACATCAAATCCTAGCATGAGACACGTACAAAAAGTTATTCCCTATCTATCTGACCAACCCCTCATGGAAATTTTGAATTGTTATTATTACATCTTATTGGCCATAAAGTTTGATTAATTCCCAAAATTTTACTTGTCTACCCTGAAAGGTTTTGGATATATTAAATAAAAACCATCTTCAGGGGCTCCTTATTTAGGGGCTGTAGTTCCCTTAGAAAGCATTTCTCAGCCTATGTTTATACGAACTTTTTTCTTCCTAGGTTGCAAAAATAAATAAGGTAAAAAAGTCAGTTTTCTGTGCTATTTAAGCGGCAAAACTTCAGATTCGATTATGGACCTCTTAAAATTGAAATTATGAGCTCCGCTTTTAACAGGACATATTCTACGATATTTTGGGTGGAGAGCAAGAAAAAAAAAATATATATATATATATTAGGGTGTTTCAAAATAAGGCAATATTTTTTTTTTCCAATTCATGTGAAATTCTCGTCACTTATGCTAAAAAAAATTTTTTTGTCAAAATTTGAGCTCTTAATATTACCTAATTTTAAAAGGTCCATCATCGAATTTAAAGTTTTCCCATTGATTTAACATGGAAAAATAGTTTTTTAAGATTTATTTCGCCTGCATGCTATGTAGAACTTTTTTTTTTGATAAACAATCACTGGTCCCTTTTTAGCATTAAATTATCTACAAAAAATCTTACAGAGTCCAGTCTGTAATATTAATTTTAAACGGTCCATCATCCAATTTAAAATTTTCCCATTGATTTAACAAGAAAAAATAGTTTTTTAAGATTTATTTAGCCTAAATACTATGTACGACTTTCTTTTTCAAAAGTTCAAAAATTAGGTCTAAAATCCTATTTTCATGATTATTCATAACACTGGCCGACAGCCATTTTTTTATATGCGCACATTCAAATGCTTAAATATATTTTTTTAAACTTATAATTTAAGCAAGGATAGTTGGTAATGTTGCTATGGGTCTTTATTAGACTGAAAAAAAATACTATATACATTGATAATGGTATTCTCTTTAAAAATCTTGCTTTCATCGAAAGAAAATCGGATATTTTTAAAATTTAAATTGATACAGCATGATCAATTTTTGCCCGATTTAAAAAAAATTTACCCTATTTGTAGGTCTATTTATCTACTTTATTGTATTAAAATTTTAATGCAATATCGAAAAAAATGTTTTTTATTGTACATCGCAAAAACAAGAGCTGATTCAGCAAAATGATGTTCATTTTTGGATTCAGCGTACCTAAATTACCATTAAAAAGTTGTTGGTTGCCAGGCACCATAAACTTTAAAAATTATTTTCAGTATTTCAAAACTGTTTTGAAGCGAAATATAAAATTTTATTTGCAGTCAAAAGCTGGATCATGAAATTAGGAATATCATAAAAGTTAAGCTATTTTAGCTTAAATTCAGCGATTAATTGAGTGTATTGAAGAATCTTGGTACGTTATTTATATATTTTTTCCTGCAAAATTGTCCCTAAACGTTCTTCCTATAGTAAATATTTTAATGCAGAATAATAAAAATAGGATTTTAGACACTTATAACTTTTGAACTGTAGGTGATAACAAAAAATTATTTAAAACAAATTTGTAGGGCATTAAAAGATCTTCAAAATTGTTACTTAACTTTTTCTTCCACGATTAGTACTTTAGCCGCTAAATGTAAAAATATCAATTTTTTTTTAGAATTTATACGTTTTAACGTTAATAAAAAAGAAAGAGTTGAATCTACAAACTGGACTCCGTAAGATTTTTTGTAGATAATTTAATGCTAAAAAAGTGATTGTTTATCAAAAAAAAAGTTCTACATAGCATGCAGGCGAAATAAATCTTAAAAAACTATTTTTCCATGTTAAATCAATGGGAAAACTTTAAATTCGATGATGGACTTTTTAAAATTAATATTAAGAGCTCAAATTTTGACAGAATTTTTTTTTTAGCATAAGTGACGAGAATTTCACATGAATTTAAAAAAAGAAAAATATTACCTATTTTGAAACACCCTAAAATATATACAAAAAGTTTATACAAAAGTGCTCTTTTAGTTCCACCCTTACTTCTTAAGAAGTCCCATAAGCCAACTGAATGGCTTGTGCGGGTTAGGGGTAGGAACGGACCGCGGGCTTAAAGTCCCCTCCGAAGGACTATTACACAATAGGACAAACACAAATAAACAGCCACACCCCTGGTGGGATTCGAACCCACGACCTTGTAGTCAGCAGCTCTAACCACTCGTCCACCGTCGGCGATATATATGTATATATTAGACTGGGCCAAAAAAATCAACTATTTTTTTTTTTGAAAAGTATATCGAAAATATGGTTTGGGGCGACAAAAAAAATTATTGTGAAAGCTTGAGTCCATAATATTAATATTAAGAGGTCTATCATCGCAATTTTCATTTTTTTTTCCTCATCAAGTTTTTGTCTCAGAACTCCCAAACCATTAAGTTTAACAAAATTTACTTAAAAATATTTTTTTAAGAAAATTAAATGCTCTACAAAAAAGGTTGAAATTTTTCCTCAGATGAACCATTTCCTTAAAATCATGCCCTAAACATTGGTATAGTTTTACATTTTGATCTTTTAACTTTGGAATTTTAGAATTCATGTAAAAATCAGTACCCATAAAAAAACCGATAAATATTCTTATGTGAAATCAAATGCTTTACAAAAAAAGCCTCTTAACATTTCTGGCTAAATTCACTTCATCAAAAGTTATTTTAACCTTCCACTCTGTATGTATATAAGTATACTTCCACTGATATCGAGAAAAGAGTGAATTTCCAACTGGTTATGAGTATGAGTATAAGAGACGTATAACCAGCCCCATTTCCTCTTGACTCTCGAACCCCGTACAGGCCTATGTTTACTTACGCCGATTTTTGTTCTTCCCCAGCAACTGCACGGCTTCACCCGTGTTTGCTGGGTGCGAATGTCCATTGCGTTCCGTACTGTCCCCTATTTGGGGCTCGAGAGCGAGAGGCGAGGAGGAGTGACGGGAGGGTGTTGGTTTTTGGGGGACAATTTCGCCGACTTAAAACTAAGTACGACGCGGAATCCCCCTAGACCAGTCGATTAGTATTACTTCAAACATTTGGGATTACTATTTGGAGTTGGGGAGTTGTTATTTTGCTGCAGGGGTGTAGTTTCCTAGTCGAGGTCTTTGTCTTGTTCGTTATTGTCATTGTCCGTGTCCTGGTCAGATAGTTTATTTATTAGTTAAACAAATGACAAGCGCAATTATTCTGTTATCTAATGATTACAAATCAAGTAGAGTTTGATTATTAGGCTTTTTTTTACTGTGTTAGGGTTATTATGACTAATCTTAGTTTATTCTGTGAGTCCAGTGTTTATTTTCGGTTTCGTTTGGGATTGCATTACGCACTTGTTGTTGACAGATTTATTGCCCTACTCCGTGTGCCTTTCATATGTTTTAAAGATATCTGCCGTATTTAAATTGCAGATTTTGTATTAGGTCATGCATATTCTTAAGGTATCTTATCAATTTTTTTGCGGATGGGTACCTCCCCTCTTGTTTGACCTCCTTTGTTTGTCCAGTGTAAAGCGTCCAATGACAGGTGGCACTTAACTCATTCATATCACTTAACACTTCACTCCTCAATGACCGCTACACCACTCTAGCTTGCACTCTATGAAAATTGTTTGTTTCACTTTATTAGTTTGCACTTTTTAAAAATTATTGTTGGTTTTAATCTTTAAACTTTTACGTTTTAAGAGCCTTCCCACACGCGTCGCGCCATCTCAAGCGAATTTCCAACTGGTTATAATCATAATATTATATTATGATTATAATAATTATTCCTATAATTTTAATTCAGTAAGAATATTCTACCGGGCCGCAAAAAAACATAATTGGTGCTGTATTAATATAATTATCGTTTTATTTTGCACATCGATTTATAAAATTAAAATTTAACTTTAGAAATCATTAATTATTTTGTTAATGGATATTTTCAATGGACGGGAGTCCCTTTAGCAAAATCAATTAAATTTAATTCATTGTTTAGTTTTATTTGTTTTTTTTTCTGTAATAAAGGTTTCTTTTTAATTTAAAATAATGTTAAGTCGTGGACTGCAACTTTTATTAAAATGTGTAAGTATATATTTCAATAAAAAAAAAACAATTTTTCCAGAGCCTGACACTTTTAGTCCCTAGTTAATAAACATAACCTCAGTTAATGGTTAGTGTATTTTCGCGTTTGAAGTGCGTTTCAAAATCGAAGTGGCTCCCTTCCCGAGGCGGAACTTAACTTTGATCCCGACTGACGTCACACACTGTAAATCCGTTTTTATCCCCCAAGCGTTATAAAATTAATGTTAAGCTGGATGGCTCAGATGGTAGGGCGGTCGTTTGGCATGCAAGAGGTACCGGGTTCGATACTACTAGAAATTGTCGAACTTTTTTTATTTTATAAATTTGTTGTTTCTTTGTTAAAAAGTGTTGGGTTGGGTTGGTTTGTTTTAAAACAAACCAACCCAACCCAACACTTTTTAACAAAGAAACAACAAATTTATAAAATAAAAAAAGTTACTAATTAGTATTATCGTAACATAAAAAAATCTGAACATTATGACGTCACTCGGGACTGAACGAAACAGCGTTTCAAAATCCTAACTATGACAATAACTACCCCATAAAACCATCTGGCCAAGCTAGTTCTGCCGTGCTTAATGAAAACGCCGTAACCAACAATTTTGCAATTTTTGGTTTGCGGCTACTAGAAAAATTCATCCTGCGTCTATCCCCGGTACTCAAAAAACCGTATATATATATAGATACGGTTTTTTGAGTACCGGGGATAGACGCAGGATGAATTTTTCTAGTAGAAAATGCCGCAAACCAAAAATTGCAAAATTGTTGGTTACGGCGATTTCATTACGCACGGCAGAGTTATTCAACATAGTTAATACTATTTCTCCTATAAATTTACTTTTGATTCCATTAAAATTTAAAAATTTATGTGGAATCGCCATAAAATAACAATGAACGTATAGAAGGTTAAAAACTGCCTAAATCTAGTCTATAGTAAACAACAGGAGAATCTATAGGTTATGAAAAAGTAAACAAATGTCAAAGTGTGCGCCGCACAGTGTGTGAAATTAATGATCTAGCTAGACAAAACCTTAATGACATAAAAAATTATAAATTTTCTCTGTAAACCGGGAATTTGGGTTCAATAAATCCAAATCTGACATCCAAAATGCAGAAATTAAATTCGTTCATTATGAAATGGCCGGCGCCTTGCAATAAAAAATAAACTTTCGGTTTCGTCGAAAATTGGTAAACTTTCGTTTTTCCAAAGAAACACCCTGTATATTTTTGTATATTTGAAATCTGGAGAAAATTTTGAATCTGATAGATTCACATTCGCTACCATTTTGCAATTGACCTTAAAGTTTTATTTTTTAATCCAGAAAGCTGCAATTTGAAGAATCAATTATTTTTACCATCCAAATTTGCAATTAAATGCATAAATAGTAAATGTTGCAGATCAATTTTTTTTTAATTAACTCAACTTTTTTAAATACCATACAAATGTTTTTAAAAATCCATATGTTTTTCCTAATCAAAACTCACCAATGTCATAAAAAGTTGTTTAGTGTTTTCCACTAAAATTACACTTATGGAAAACTTACAACAAAAATTAAGATCATTTTAAAAATCCCACGATAGTGTAAGTATTGAATTCAAAATTTTCTCCTGATTTGAAATATACAAAAATATGCAGAGTATTTTATTGAGAAAACGAAAGTTGGCATTATTTCCGGGGAAACCGGATACCGGGTGGTATCCATTGAAGGTTGAAATAATTATAAATTAACTCTTTATTATTAGTCCCAAATTTCAACTCTATTCCAAAATTTACTAGTGGAGGAGTGCGTCGGTTTTTGGTTACACCCTGTAGAAGAGGCAAATTGGGGCAATAAATAAAGGCACATCAGTAATCTGTAGACGTTATAAAACAAAACAAATATTGATAGTGCACCCGATATTGCTCGATTACCATACTTCTTGCTTAATAAATATTGTCCATATTTAATAACACCAAGTGAGATTCTATATCTATAGCCTGTTGCTGATTATTGATATTATAAATCCGTAATAATAAAAAATAAGTAATATATACCTAGATCCATAGCTGCACAGTTCAAAATTTGATTTAACTTGACACAATATCAAAATCAAACCACCTTTTTGTAACGCATACACAGCTAAGTATGTTTATAAAAAATGATACGCCCGGAACTGGCGCCTGCATAGTGCTAAATACACTGTTGCAGTACGCTCTAAGTAATGGAAATCATAACAGGGAGAACTGAAGAAGCTTATTTAATAAAATTTGTCTTTATTTCAGGTTGTTTTTAAATTAGGTTTTGTCTAGCTAGATAATTAATTTAACACACTGCGCGCCGGTCCAATTTTTTAAAATGATTAGTAACTAGTGAACCGCTATTAAGTGTTTTAAGAAGTTCTAATTATTTGTTCTTATTTTCCAGGAAAAATTTAATAAAATGCAGCAATTACTTCCTGAAATTCACAGTTTGGCGGCGAGAGGAGAAGACCATTTATATCATAAACATTGTAGTGGCAGCGCACCCACCCAAACATTACTAATGGAAATGCTACATGCAAAGAGAAAATAACGGATGGCTGTTAGGTTGTTGCCGTCCTTTCGTTACCATATCTATGTGCAATACCTACTATGGCTTAATATGTACATAGGTTTTTGGAAATCTCATAATAGTTGTTGACAATGATGCCTTCATGAAGTACAAAAATATTGTATATCGCAACCACATATTTTTTATAAAAAGATAGCGACCACATTACCATGCTCATCCATTGTTGTTTATTTATCGTTACGTTGATTTGAATTTTATGTCGCACATTCCAGGTTGCTCTGGAGGGATTCAAGGGCATCATAGTATAAATAGTATAGCTTGGTGTGCAAGATTAGGGTGAATGAAATTTTGCACTTCAAAGTTAATACCTACTTTTTAGTATGTAAATGTAGCTTAAACTGTGGTGATGGAGACTAACAGCTGTTTAATTATAGATACACATAAAAATTATTACTTAGGTATTTAAGTTTAAATATTAAAAAATAAATATTTAATTAATTATGTTATATTTAAATGTTAAGAGCAAGGTACTGTGGTCTAAATTTTGTTTTTTATTATAAAGTGGTAAGCACACAATTGCCTGCAAAAACAGATACTTAGTTAAAATAATTTTATTACACCTTGAACTTCTATTCAAAAGGTAATTTTTTATATATATTGTGATGATTTTTATTATGTTTTAAACTTTTTTATTTCATTTTATGCATAATTTCAAAATGCTAAATAGACTAAATATAGTTTAGATTTTATGCAGAGGAAATTGTACTCAAGATAAATATTTAAAAAGTAAATAAAAATTACAATGATTTAAATGGTAATCAATATTTAAATTTTTATTGATTAAATAAACTGTGATAATAATAAATTAAAAACATAATTTTTAAATAATATAATAGATCTGGGTCTTATTTATTTAGGTAACTATAGTAATTTATTTTGCTGTGTTAATTATTAACCATAAACATATAATTTTTCTTCTATTCTTTCCTTTCAAAATTCCTACGTAAAAAAGTTTATATTTTAACTGTTTTTGTTTGGATAAGTGTTGCTAAATGTATTGTGAAAGGTTACCGCATGGTTTTCTTCTGCAAACAAATCCACTTAAATGTTACCCACTTGTTTGGTGCTCCTAGAGCATAAAAATATATTTATTATAAAAAGTTTATACAAAACTACTTTAGTATATAGTATAAATTTTTTAGGTTTAACAAAGGTATCAAATGTACCATTGTTAAATTTAAAGATTACACAGATGTGCTTTCAAATTTAACAACGAAAAATAATTCAACCGCACATTAAAATTTCCCAAGGAAAAACACAGTATATAAAATTTTAATAATGCTAAATTAAGAAGTAAACCAGTTTATTACTGGGAATATTATAAAATATATGTAGATACACAACCACATAATATTATATTATATTTTATTATATTTGTAGTACTACATAGTACTGGTTTATCTCTTTAATAAACAGATTTATCAAAATTGCATACACTGTGTTTTTCCATTCAAAATATTATTTGTCTCCAAATGTCAAAATTTAACTTGGAATACATAAATTATATATATACATATAATTTATGCAAAAGTACTTAAATACTTATCAATTCTTTTGAAAAATACATATACTGCGTTTTTTCTTGAGACTGCCGAAATTGTGTTTAAAATATTGTGATACCTTCTTTGTGAATAGGCAACAATATAATTTAAAGCAATGTCAGAAAAGTAAATTTATATATGTGATATAAGTTGTCAGATGCCCTGTTCCTGATCATATTTCATTTTTAGCTTTTAATTAAAATTCCACATAGCATTTATGTTGGTTTTTAATAGGCTTATTAAGAACATTCTTATTTTTTGAAGTAAATCTGTTTTGTTTTTTGTTATGCATACTTAAGAATATAGTGGTAGTGGGGCAAACAACTTAACCTAACATAACAAAGATAAGAAGTATATTTTTATTAAAAGGGGACCCTATAGGGTATTTGCATGCATTCTGTGAATGTAAATAAATGAGTATATATACTCATTTATTTACATTCACAGAATGCATGCAAATACCCCCTGGATAGCATTCTATATTCATTTATGTACATTTACGGAATGCAAACCAAATACCCTCTGGGTGGCATTGCCAAACTTAAATAATAATAATGTTCATATATAAGTTTTGAAAAGTTTTATAAAAAACATTTTATACCTACTAAAAACATACTTAAAAAAACAGCTTTTAGCTGATGTCAGACGCCCATGTTTTCTCATTTTGAATGTGACAGATGCCAACAGTTAATGAATATTAAATATACACAAGTTTTGTGATTAGAAATAATATTATGTTTATATTAACAAATTAAAAATACCTTATTTATATAAATATAAATATTTTATTATTAAGAATTAATCCAGAGTGGGCAATAAAAATCAAAATATTTAAATGAACCCTATGCTTGTTTATACCACAGTTTTTATTATTTTTATTTACATCACATAAAAATATAATTTAATATTTATGCATCACTGTACAGATGTACATATTTTTATAAATTTTTATTCTAGAGTATTTTTTTTATGTATTTAAAAAATACAATTAATTGAAATCTCTGACTTGCAATGAATATAATGTTTTATTTAATTTATCAAAATTGTATTTGTATTATACGTACTACTATTAAATTTATTAGAACCATGTTTTATTAAGTTTATTGTTCGGTTGATGTATAAAATATTGTATAAAATATTGTAAATATGTAGGTATTGTTAAATTTATTTTAAAAATGTATTTGTTATTGGAAATGTTTGCTAAAGTGTACCATTGATAGACCCTCGCGATTAATAGGGTTATAATGCCTGTCATTGGGTCACGAAACCATGGTTTAATTATAATTTATATCTTGCCATGTGACAAGCATGTAAACCCTAAGCTTATATGTAACCATAAATATATATATTTTATTTAAGCCGTGTGATTGAAAGGTTGTAAATATAATTTATGTGGATCAAAGTGACTTGTTTGTAGGAATAAATCACCATTAAACTAAAATATATTTTTGTTTTATTTGTAATTTATTATTGCTGCACTATCGGGTACTATTGCGGTGGGCTAACAAAAACGGACAACGTTTTGGTAAAAAGCTAAAAATGGGCAAATTTATTTTTCCTACCTTGGTCTTTAAATTGATTGCTATGTTTGCAAGGTCTTGAGTAAAATAAACGTGACATGTATACACATTGTATGAGGATATAAATATCAGAAGAAAATTGTATCTGCTATTATTCAAGGCAAATTGACCATTGGCACTTTTAAATGGAAGGTTCTTAAATTTAAAAAGTATTAAATTAGCAAGGTTACTTCTTGTTCAAAACTAGTTAATGGTGAACGTTGATGTTTAATGGTTTTAAATAGGTAATTACTTTTTTCTACGACCACTATGTAAAAGTCACTTTTCATGATGGCATCGTTGCTTAGAAAATGAATCTTTTCATTGGCAAGGCAAAATAGTGATGTAAGAATACGTATCCAAATATCCGTTGAATCCGAATATTTAAAGGATCCGGATATTCCGGAATCAATCTGTAAATTCGAATACGGATTCGGAATTAAAATTTACGGAAACAAATTTCGAATGCGCGAAGCAAATGCGCTATGAAAAGCCGAGTGCGGATGGTTACAACCGGCGCATTCGGAATCGCGGGAAAGGCGCTTGGTCTGAGTCCGCTACTTACGATACCATAGGCGTACGATGCTTATTTAAAAAATAAAGACATGATTTATAAAAATATTGTTTTTATCTATTTAAAATTACCAGACAATCAAGGCATAACTTTAAAATATAAAAAATAAAACAAGGATAACATTATTTGGTTAACTAGTAGGTGTTTACCATAGTAATAAAAAAAAATCAACTTAAACTTAAACTCTTTGTTTTGTTAAAAAGTACCAGACACTCCACTCTACTCCACAGAACAAACCCCACTCCTCTTTGCATTCCTTACGCCGTGCCACCCGCTTGCACGTTGCGCATTTTATGATTTAACTTATATGCTTATAGATAATAGATACGTATCCGGACAGTGAATCCGAATATCTCTTGGTTCCGAATACGTATTATCCGAATATCAAAAAGATACGAATATTTACATCACTAAGGCAAAACACGAATGTAAAGTGACATTTATGTGTGAAAAGTGACAGGTCTGTGTGAAAAGAACCGGAAAGCATCGTTTGACATTCAGCTGTCAAAAAAGTTTTTAGGTTATTTTGTTTTGTATTGCAAAATACGCTGTGTCTAGTCTCACGCGTGAACGCAATATAATTTTTATTGTCACGCTAAAGTCAAAATAATTTTAATTTTATTCTCACGCATTATTTTATTTAATTTTACTTTTTAGGTGTCGTGTCATTTGATTTGATTATTATTTGATTATGTCATTTGATTTGATTATGCAAATGTAATAAAATTTACTAATAATAAAATCGAGACTTTTACTGCAGCCAAACCAATCCAAACTCAACAACACAACCCAACCGACCCCGCCCCATTGGGCCCCCCCCGCTCCATTGAGCAAAAAACCCAACTAAAATGGGCAAATTTATGTTACGATAAAAATAAAACACTTTAACAAAGGAACAACAATTTATGAAATAAAAAAAGTTCGACAACTTCTGGTAGATTTTATGTTACGATAAAACTAAAACAAATTAACCAACCCAACCCAACCGAACACTGTTTAACAAAGAAACAAAAAATTTATGAAATAAAAAAATAAAAAAAGTTCTTAGAATCGAACCAGGGACCTCTCGCATGCCAAGCGCCCGCCCTACCATCGGAGCCATCTAGCTTGTTGTCAAATATTAAACGCTCTGGGAACAAAAACGGATTATAATTAGTGACGTCACCGCGTGAGAATAAGAATAAAATTGCGTTCACGCTAGCGTGAGACTAGACACAGCGTTAAAAATAATAAAAAATAAAAGGGTCGCAGAAAAAACATTGTGTTATACTTGTGAGAAAAGCTTTC